CACAAAAATCTCCTAAAGAATTTGCTTCGAAAACTAGGTAAGGATATATATTAAAACTCAAGTTCGTTTATAAAAACTTGTTAATTTGTAATCTTTGTTTTTTTTTTAATCTTCTTTATTTTTGTAGGTATTTGAAAATGGAAGATGTTGTTATCGACGTGCAAGACTCGAGTTTAAATGTAGGAATATTGTAGAATTTATGTTGCATAATGTATCATTTTTTTTTTATAGTTGGTAGAAATTTATGTAAACACCAATACTTATTTACTTTATTACAATAACGTAATTTATATTTTAATTTATATTTAAAATTGAATGATAATGTTATAAAATGTTCGTATTTAAAGTAAGTGAACTAGTATTATATTTTTGAAGCTATTATATTTATGAAACTATATATATATATTTTTTAATTTTTAAACAATACAATTTATTTATTTTATTATATATAAATATATATTTATATATTCAATTAAATTCATATATTTATATAATTTATTTAATTATATTAATTTTATTATATCTATATATATTTTTTATATATTAATATATATTTATTATCTTTAATTAAATTCTTCTAATTATATTTTTAATTATATATACATATATATAATTTAGTTAATTATATATAAATACATATTTATAATATTTTAATTATATATATTTAACTAAATATATTTATATATTTTTACGCTACATAATTTTTTAATATTTTTCATATATATATAATAAAATAAAAATAAAATAAATAATTTTTTTAAATATACATCCATATCTTATTATCAATTCAAACATAATTACCACTATCGCACGTTAGTACGCTATCATCTAAATATAATTAAATTTAAACATTAATAAATTTTACACATACCGAATCGTATTTAACATTAATAAATTATTATCCAAATCATCCAATCAAAGACTATCAGTAGATCAGTTGATTGATTGCTGCGGTAGTAATTTGAAACAAAATGGCATAAGATATACCTGAAGAATTCCTCCAGCGGCAATGTTTATCAGTAAAAATAACATATTCTCTTTTGACATCATGACTAAATGAACTAATATGAACTCTAGTATGTAAACATTCAATAAAATAAGAATTTAATAGAATTAAAGCCTTAGACATCTATAAGGCATCAGTAGAGTGTAATGAGTTCTTTGAAGTGGGGCTAAATTTCATTATGATTTTCGGACATTTCAATCTGGATTCCTTTTTCTCACATGATAAGCACTCTCTCTTCTCCCCCATCGCCATGGAAACAAAGTATCCCTATCTTCTCGTTAAAGTATAGGATTGGTCCACTAAAAAGTCAAAATTTTGGCTAATTCTTTACCTATTAATTAATCGTTCCATGGGTCATTCTCTGCTCTCACCTCTGATGGTTCAATTACTTCTGCCTCAGAGGCTTCTCCCTCGCCTGCATTAGACTCGGTAGCATTTTCTTCTGATGCTTCCTTTACCTCATCTTCTGCTCGACCCCATCTTCCACCAAGGGCCATGGCCATCATGTCATAGATCTTGTTCCCCAACTCCGCTGGGCTGTCAGGCTGCACAATCCAAGGAAAAAATATGAGACCTAAGGTTCTTAACCTAATTTCAATTTTGTTAGACAGAATAATAGAAAAGGAAGATGTTTTTTATACTCACGGTGAATCCACTTGAGATCAATGCTGTATCATATAAGAGGTCAACAGCTTGCTTGGCATCGCTGCTATCTGGCGAATTCTTACATGCAGCCTGCAAGTTGATAATCAAATTAGGTCATGTCAGCTTTTTTACACATCCCATAACAAATTCCCAAGAAAGCATCCAAAGCATCTTTATGAAATTTTAGTAGTAGATATTTTGTGCACTACTAGTCAGTTCAACATTATTACGAACACCATTCTCTGACATATTAGCACCAAGGTGAAAATACTACATTTTCCATATTTGCACATCAAAAATAATTCCCTATATTACTAGTTCTCCATGATCTATATGAGTTAGATAATATTTAAATCTTTCTCTGCCATTCTTTTTCATGCATAGACCTTAAGATTATGAACAACCATCTAGTAATAACCAAAGTATCTTCCCATGCACGGCCCTTACCTTATAGATTAGTAGACTATGGTTCATACATTTCTCAAACTATAACTTACATGTTAACTAGCATCAATTCGACAGAGTTAATCGGAATGAAAAGGGCAGCCATACATTTAAGTCTTTTATAATTGGATGCTCTGGATTAATCTCCAATATTCTCCTGCCCCTCATGAACTCCAAACTTGAAGTGTCTCCAAGGGCTTGAGCCTTCATCAGCCTTCACAAAGATTAAGAATGGGATCAACCATATGTTCTTTAGTTTTCATATTGAACAATGAAAACCAGTTTACCAACCTCTCCATATTAGCCGACCATCCAAACTTGCCAGAAACAAGCACACAAGGAGATGAGCTTAGACGCTTTGAAACTTGGACTTTGGCAACCTTGTCACCAAGCTGTTGCTTTATCCAATCACAGAGAAGATTATACTCCTGTTTTGTTTCTCTTTCCTTGACCTCATCCTCATCACCTGGAGCAACAGCCTACCTCATGAGGAAAAATCCACGCCAGAAACCTCAAGAAGAAAGCTATATGAATAGAGAACATTATGACTGTCGACCAGAAAAAATATAAGCACTAACCAAGCTCCAAATCTTCCTTGCTGATATCAACAAATTTTTTTTCTTTGTAGGTTTGCAGATTCTGGATGGCAACTTCATCAATAGGCTCAATTAAGTACAGAACCTGAAAACAAAAACCTATCAGCTATCTGGATTTAAGTGGGGCAAGAAAAAAATGCGCCAAATATGCCGCTAGACTAAATATTGTTCAACTACTGCATGCTTTATTTTGGATTGGCAGAAGGCAAGGAAAATGAGGATGGTAACCCCACAGATTAAAAGTAACAAATAGCCAAGATAAAGATGATAATGAAATTTCAAGCAAAAGATAGAAGTCATACTAAATAACAAATTAAAAACAAAAAAGGGCTAAATCTTGAGGAATCATGCATTTCTAATTTAACATGAAGTAAAATGTTTTTCCAGAAGTTGAAAACAAACAAACCTAGACTGTGAGTAATCAAAGACAAAAAGCATGCAATGCATAAAAATGCCCTAATACAGCGAAATTTGCCAGCTCACACCAAATCAGCATGAAGGCAATACCTCAATGTCCTTCTGAACCAATTTCTCCAAGAATGGAGCAGTTTTTGCACTTTTCAAGCTGTCTGTTGCCAAGTAATAGATAGCCTTTTGGTTCTCAGCCATGTTCTCAACATACTCATCCAAGCTTATTAGTTCCTCTTCACTTTTGGAAGTGTAGAACCGTAACAATGACGTTAAGCGCTTGTGATTACCAGTGTCCTCAATGCATCCTAACTTTAAAAACCTGCCAAAGTTCTCCCAGAACTTTTTATAATCCTGTAATCAGGTGATCCATATCCAAGTTATAAAAATTGCAGGCATAACAGTAATAAGAAAAGGCAAACAAGGCTCAACTGCTACCAGTTACCTCTTTGTTTTCACTCTCAGAGATCTCTTGAATCATGTCAAATGTTTTCCTGACAAGTCTCTTCCTCATAATTCTTACCTGTAAAATATCATGTAGAAAATAAATTTCATGCACATAATAACAACAAAGCAGAAATTCATTAAAACTGGCACAAGGTCACCCAGAAATTCTGAACTAAGAAAAAACCCACTGATAAAGCCCCAAAGTCAGACTCAGTAGCTGATCTATTTACAGGGATTACAGACACTCACGTGACTCATGGTAATAATGCTGTTGTTCAGTCTGGTCTGGACCAAAAAGGACCAATTCTTCAATATGTTTGAATTAAAAATCAATTATATATACGTAATCTCCAATCCTATCACTTCTTTTGACATATTGTCCAGAACCCTCTCAACCACACTTTTGTCCAGTGGCTACTATCCCATCACTTTCTCTCTCTATTTGTATACCATATACATATTTCCCTTCCCAATGCCATCACTTTGTCTCCCTATACTTATACCATATACATATCTCCCTTCTCTCTCTCTCTCTCTCTCTCTCTCTCTCTCTCACTATATATACATGCACCAAATGCACAATAAGAATGCTGATTGAATTTTTTTTTTTGAGGATTATAGAAATGTTTTAGGGAGTGATACATTTACCACACATTTACATGCTCTCTTCATCTCGGGCCTTCTTTTTTTGGTGTTTTCGGCAATGGGCGCAAACTCAGCGGTGGAGGAGAGAGAAAGGTGGCAGCCACTTAGTCAATCGAACTCGTTCCTGATGATAACAGGGAGCCAAGTAAACTGAGCAGAACTCCACATTCACCACCAGTTGGGAGGAGATAAGAGGTGAGAATGAATGAGAGGCTGCGGCCTGAAAGAGTGAGTGAGATTTTTGCAGATGTATTTTTCAGTGGCTGGGGGTTTTTTCCTATTTATATATCTGTTTTTTTTACCAGTTCAGACCAGGGCCAAGAGCGGACAGGAACAGACCGTCTTCCCGGTCAACAGCCTACTGGACCAAGAATCAGACCAAAAGGCTTTTGGTCTGGTCCAGTCCAAAAGAACGGTTTGGTCTGTCTTTCCAGTCTGGACCAGCAAATTCACACCCCTACAGAGCTGGAAGAAGAAAATTTTTTTTTCTTCTAAAATAAATTTTCAAAGGTAAAGATAGGCATCATTGTCTCCAAGGACAGGAAAAGAAGCTGGATTTTCTATGAGCTCTTTCTCTACAGTTTGGTTAAGATTCTTTAGCTAGAAGTTGTTACGACTTTGTGTAAGAAGTCACTTAGGACTTTGGTTTAGGAATCTGGATCTTATCGGTATTAGAGTTTGACTAAGGAATCAGTAAGGGTCATAATGTAGGAGCAAATTGCCATTGCTTGTCTATAAATATATACATATATATATATATATGCAAGTTGCAGCAATGAGATATCAAAAAATAATTCATCAAACAGAAGTCCTTGAATACCTAAATCTCAAGATCGAAGGGTCCTCTCAAACGAGTCTAAGTCCTAATTCAAAACAAATCATTAAGGAGATAATACGTGAAACAGACTGAATGCTTGCGCCAAGACTTCAATCTAACCCATAACCAGATCTCAAAAGATTGGTCCATGTAACTCATCCATAAGTCAACAAGAATTATATTATTAAGGAAACATGACAAAATTCAGTCTTACAATTCGGCTTTCTTGAAGGATTTCTCGAGAAACATTAAGAGGAAGATCATCCGAGTCCACTACACCCTTAACAAAGCTCAAGTACCTTGGGAACTGCAAAACAACATGCAAGCTTATCAGAAAGCTTGAACCCAGGTCAAATTTGAACTGAAATGTCTAATTTTTTCTCTAGGGATAATATACTAATCACATTTTTTTACATGATGTATACATTTTAAGTACAATGTTTAGTACTTAATGCATCAAAACAAAGACAAACAATCAAAACACCATTATATGAAGGAGATATTACAAAGAATTTCAAGCCTCAATAACACTTGCCCACTTACCAACTCTCCATCAAAATCATCTGAGATAAAAACACGCTTCACATACAAACGAATGTTTTTTGTTTTTGGATTTATCACGTCTTCGTTGTTTAGAGGCCCCATTCCTGGAATGTATAGAACACTCCTAAACTCAACTTCCCCCTGCACAGCTTTTTCATAGTTAATATCCTAACCAGATAAATGGTCAATTTAGGCGATTGAATAGCCAGTACCTCTGTGGTGAAGTGAGTGTATGCAAGTGGATCCAAAAATTCATTAAAAGTCTTCTTGTAAAATTCATGATATTCCTCCTTCTGAACTTCCTTTGCATTACGCATCTAAAAACAGACAAAAGAGTTAATAGATTATATTGCATAGACCTCCAAAAGGACACGAGAACGGACCAAATAATCAAAAAGAATGAATGTGATCATGATCATTTTCCACTCACCCATATGGGCTTTGTTTCATTGGCTAATTCCCAATCCCAGTACTTCTCAGTCTTGGTGGTTTTCTTTGTTTTCTTTTCACCCTAGCATAAATTCAAAAATAAACTTAAAATTGTAATCATAAAGAAAGGACAGGGCAACAGCCACAATTAAGGCATGCACTAGTAATTACCTCTGGCTTTTGTTCCTCTCCTTCTTTTGGTTCTTCCTCCTCTTCCACCTATTCAAAATTCCAATTAAGGACCCATCCATCCACCAATTCAAGTAAACATGGCAGGAAAATAAATAGCATGCATTATATACTAAGACTAGGAGATGAAGAACAAAATAATCTTAATGAGGATTCAAAGCATATAAACGAGAAAAACCCACAGTCGAGAGATGTTGCTTTAAATTAACTCGTTCCAATTTATACGCATTCTAAAGAAGAATGGCTAGAAGAAAGTAGTACTAGTTAACACTGGACTTAATAAAGAGGCAAGTGATAACTGCAAAGAAAATATTTAGATATCCTCGACCGTTGTCCACCAATTCAAAATTCAAATTAAGGACCCATCCAACCACCAATTCAAGTAAACATGGCAGGACAATAAATAGGATGCATTATACACTAAGCCTAGGAGATGAAGAACAAAATAATCTTAATGAGGATTCAAAGCATATGAACGAGAAAAACCCACAGTCGAGAGATGTTGCTTTAAATTAACTCGTTCCAATTTATACACATTCTAAAGAACAATGGCTAGAAGAAAGCAGAACTAGTTAACACTGGACATAGTAAAGAGGCAAGTGATAACTGCAAAGAAAATATTTAGATATCCTCACCTCTACGGTCCTTGATTTTTCCTGCCATGTATAGATGGGAAACGAAACAAACTGAGAGTAATTCTTCACCAAGTTCTGAATTCTAGTCGGCTCTGAGAATTCGTACTTGTCATCCTCCTGCATGAAATACTTGGAGGTCAGACCATTGATTTCTTATAGAAACAAATAAAAAGTTACCAATTCTAATATTTTGTTCCTAAAAAAAATGAAATGTTGACAATTGGTAATAGTATGAAACACCATATACACATTTGATGTTGACTAAAATACCGCATATGAACTTAAAAGGTAAACCAAATTAACATGGCAATGAAAGAGATATCACAACCTAAAACCTTACGGTTTAGTGACTAGCTTACTTTGCCAATTAACATAAAGGTCCCAGTTGATCCTTACAAAATATCAAATTACGCTCCAATAAGAAAGCAGAGAAAGAATAGGATTACCCTTAAGTAAAGAGTGATTTGTGTTCCACGGGGTAGGACCTTGTCAGGATCGGTTTCTTCCCTAATCACATATGAACTACTGTCAGCTTCTGCTTCCCAAACATATTGCTTGTCAGACCTTGGGCTCTTTGTGGACACAACAACCTGGTATCATATAATACAAAATAAATTCGAGTTAGCATAAAGATATGCACACATGAAAAGATTCGATGATGTTTTGATTGGCTTATTTCAGTAGAAAAAGTGCTTAAGCTTTTTTTTTAAATAATGTGTTT